TGGATGAGACTAGGGAATTAATCGGAAACCAGTAAATGACAGACTTTGAATAAGCTTTTGGTATCTTTCTCCACAGTGGGAAACCCAAAAGCAACCCAAAAAATAGAAAATCAGGAGACAGAGGGGTTGGAAGAATTTAAATCCAGCACAACACTTAGAAAAAAGGTACTAGGAAAACTAATAGGACTAAAGGCTAACAAGTCACCTGAACCCAGTAGCTCATAGATGAGGATCTGAAACAAATAATGGTAGAGATAGGGGTATATTGGCAGCAATAGTCCAAATTTCTCTAGATTCTGGAAAAGTCCCAGCAAATTGGATAGCTGCAAGGGAACACATCTATTCAAGAAAGGAGGAAGACTGGAAACTGTAGACCAGTTATACTGACATTTATCATGGGGAAAATACTAGAAATATTATTAAAGAGATAGTAGCAAGTCATTTAGAAAACAATGCAAATAGCTTTATGTAGGAAATTGACAAATTTATTAGAGTTGTTTGAGGTTGTAACAGACAGGTTAAAAGAGTGGAATCATTCTTTGCATTTGAATTTTTAAGGCATCATATCACAAGATGAAAATTCATGGTGTTGGGGTGATAGGTTTGTCTGAATAGGTGTTTGACCATCTTACAGGAAACAAAGAGTCAGGATAAATGGTCATTTTCCACTTGGCAAACTAGCTCAAACTAGTGAGCTGCTACTGGGATCAATACTAGGATCTCAGCAAGTTGGAATCTATAATAATACTGTGAATGGAAATGGTGAATTTTCGCCAAATTTTTTACATTTGAGAGATGGGTAAGAAAGCAAATAGAGGATAGAAAGGCCTACAGATAAGTCAAATGAATGGGCAAAGATTTGGCAGATCAAGCATAATGTGCGGAAATGTGACCTTATCTACTTTGGCAGGAGTAGAGGAAAAGTACAACGTAATTTAATTGAAGAAGGACCACAGACAGCTGCAGTACATAGAGGTCAGTTACCTCCTACATGAATCACAAAAAGTTAGCAAATAATTAGGAAGGCAAATGGAGTGTTGACCTCTAATATAGTGGGGTTAGAGTATAAAAATAGATAATTCTTGCTACAACTCACTGGCACTCAGGTTCAATTCCAGCCTTGGGTCACTGTCTCTGTGAAGTTTGCACATTCTCACATGTCTACATGGGTTTCTCTGGGTGCTCCCATTTCCTCCCACAGTTCGAAGATGTGCAGGTTAGATGGATTGACCATGGTAAAACCCTCATGCGGAGCTATGAGGATCAGGTGGTGGGGGTGGGTCTGGGTGGGATTCTCTTTGGAGGGGCAGTGCAGACTTGATGAAAAACCTGTTTCTGCACTGTAGGAATCCTGTGATTCTATGAGCTGTACAGGATATTGGCGAGACTGCGTACAGTTTTGGTCTCCTTACTGAAGAGAGGGTATGTTGTGTTTGCAAGCAATTCAGAGAAGGTTCACTTAGTTGATTGTTGGGATAAAGGGATTAAATTATGGAGAAAAGTTGAACAGTTTGGGCCTATTCTCATTGAAGCTTAGAAGAATGATTGTGTTGAAATATTTATGATTCTGAGGGAGCTTGACGAGGTAAATGCTGGGAGGATGTTTCACCTTGAGGAAAACCTAGAACTAAGACAGCACAATTTGAAAAGATGGAATCTCTGATTCAAGTCTGAAATGAGAAATTTCTTCTTTCAGGAGGTTGTTTTACTTTGAAATTCTGTTCCAAGGAGTACAATAGATCTCAATTGTTCAGCATATTCAAGACTGGATTTGATTTTTGATTGACAAGGGAGTCAAGGTTCATGGCATCAGGCAGTATGGTCGAATTAGGGGCACAATCCAATCAGCATGATCTTATTGAATGGTGGTACAGGCACCATTAGCTGACTCTTGCTTCTATTTACTATGTTCAAACTAGAATAGACAGAAAACTAGAAGTCATAGAATCCCTACAGTGTGGAAACAGACCCTTCGGCCCAACAAGTCCACACTGACCCTCGGAGCATCCCACCCAAACCCATCCCCCTATAACTCACCTAATCTACACCTCCCTGAACGCTACGGGCAATTTAGCATGGCCAATCCATCCAGTCAGTGTCCAGTCTCTCAGTTTATGGCACAATTGGCATTGAAACAGTGAAACATGCAAGATCCTTGGCAAACTTGACAGGTAGTTGTGCAAAAGTTGTTTCCCCTTGTGGGAGAACCTAGGACCAGAGGGGTATAATCCCAGAATAAGAGTTTGCCCATTTAAAGTGGAGATGAGGAGGAATTTCATCTCTGAGGGTAGTGAATCTTTGGAGTTCTTTACCACTGAGGGCTATCAGGCCTGGAGCATTAAGTATATTCATGGCTAAAAAAAGACAGATTTTTAATCAGTAAGGGAATGAAGGGTTATAGGAAAAAGGCAGCAAAGTGGAGTTGAGGATTATCAGATCAGATGCAATGGGCAGTTTGGCCTACTTCTACTCCTGCATCTTACAGAGTCATAGGGTTGTTATAGCATAGAAACAGACCCTGCAGTCCAACTCATCCACACCAACGAGATAGCCCAATTTGCCAGCAATTGGCCCATATCCCTCTAAACCCTTCCTATTCATATACGTGTCCTTTTAAATGTTGTCATTGTACGAACCTGCACTACTTCCTCTGGCAGTTCATTCCACACACGCACCACCCTCTGCACGAAAACATTGCCCCTTAGGTCCCTTTTAAATCCTTCCCGTTTCATCTTAAACCTATGCCATCTAGTTTTGGTCTTCCCTACCCTGGGGGAAAAAACTTTGGCTGTTCACCCTTTCCAGGCCACTCATGATTTTATAAACTCCTTTAGTTATGGTCTTAGAATATATTTATAGTAAATCTATTTAAAGTGCTTTATATTCTGCGTTTGAAAATACATCTAGCAAAGTTGAGGTTATGCTGGGGTTGAAGGTTTCTTTCCTGTGACAACTATGAAATAGATAAAAGTAACTATACAGCCAATGATCTCATTAAACAGTTGGGTCTTATTTTCTGGATTTCTTATTTGTAATTGTTGGATTTCAATGAGAGTACCATCTGTAGTTGTTACTGCATTTTATTTAATATTTTCAAAGTCCTTGGTTTTGCAAATATTTAAACAAATGCTGCACTAGTATATTTTCAATTACCTAATTTTCTAAACATGTTGAAACTCCTTGAAAAAATAATTTCTAGAGCACTCTAAGATGACTTATTCAAACCTAGAGAGAAGCTGAGGTGGATTTTGATGAGCATTATTGAGTTTTCAAATTTAATAATTTCCTTAGAAGACTTAGAACACTGTCTTAAAGGACAGAATTTTCCAAAACCCTGTACCACCGGTAAGAACTTCTCCGCAATGGGTGGCTTGTTTGTTAGCAAATCATGAATACATGCAATTGTTGTCATTTAGGCAACACATACTATCAACCTTAACAATAATGAAAAGAAGTTTCTGTGAGAGTGTTAGAATAGGTAAAAAGTAGAATGGAATTGCTACTGGTGATCTAAAGCAAAGATTCCATGACCCAGGAAAGTGGCACAAGAAGGTAGTAGGCAACATGCAGGCCATCTATCATGTACTGAACAGGAACCCCCACTCCAAGTACCAGCTCATACCTTTAAAGTTGCAACTCAATGGTGTTTTTTACTCACCGATCATTCGCACTTTTGTGTGCCACATTCCCAGGACACAGGAACCTTCTCTTAGCTAGATTTGCAATGGTGCGTATTTATAGTTAATAAGGGCACAAGTATTTACACTTCCTCTGTCTCCATCTTTTGCTTCTTTACCTATTCCATTAGCTTGCACTATCACCCCTTTTCTCATTTAATCATTTCTGCCGTCTGGTGTATCACAGAATTTTGTCATCCCCACGCCATGTGTTTCATAGGCTTGGTGTGTACTTACAAACTGTTAATCTGTTACATTATCCAGTTCTGATGAGCATCTGTGTGAAATTTGTTTATCTCTGCTGCCTGACCTGATTGTTTTGTGACTTCTGTACCTATATATAAAACAAATATAAATATGTAATGGTAGAGTTTCCGCCTTGGCACAATTGGCAAGCCAGTTGGAAAACGCACCTAACATTGCATCCATTGTTAACTTTCCACTCATACTCATTCACGTATTTGCTGTGAACCAACACAATCAATCAGCATTTTAACATAATTTGCTTGAGAAATATTCATTGATATATTTAATAATAAAAACTGAGGTGCAACTGAAAATGTTTTTTAATCAGTGTCAATTTTTATCACTTAATTTTGAGTAACCTAATTTTATTTTACTGAAAATGTTTTTAACAAACTAACATAACAATTTCCTAGTTATCCTGTATACCAGTAGTCAGTTTCTTAAGACATTTACATTTATAAGCTTAAAAAGTTGTTGGTGTTCTTATGAACCACGAATAGCCACCTCAAAAGTCCAGAAACTTTTCTTTTGCCTCATAACTCAAGTTTGATTAAAAGAAACTCCCATCATGATTGATTTCATCTGGAAGGGTTTGGAACGCCAGACTTGCTGAGCTTCTCCAGCAACTTTGTTTTTGTCCCATCATGATTAATTTCATCTGGAAGGGTTTTGATGCCTTGTTTTTTCCTTTTAACCAGCATATGCAATCTCAAATGTTTGCGTTCCACTTAAAATACAATGATCTTCTGCATCAGTTAGACCTATTTCAGCCAAATAATGCTGAGAAAGTAGCACAGCTGAGTGGAAACTTTTAGGCCCTAATTTACACATTTTCTTCAGTAGTTGTGTGCTTTGTGCGCATCTAATTTTCCTGGTTTAATGAGTATTTCTGTGCTACATGCCTAAACGTTTATTTGTGATAATTACTCAGTTAAATCTGTTGACAGCTGCTGAGTTAATCATTGTGTGACTAATGTAATGTTATAAGCAGAATTGAATCCCAATGCTGTATTGTGCACTTGGGAAAACGAAAGTGTAAAATCTCTGTAAAAGTCTCCTATTCTGTTGTACTTGCAGGAATCTACGATTCCCGATTCATTTACTGTTTATCACTACAATGGGTTGAAGCAGTCTAACCACAGTGAAAAGGTGAGGCAAGAATAGGGTGTAACTGTTAATCATCTGTCAATTCCTGTTAGTCCTGATTTGTCAGTTATAACAATAGACAACTTGACGTAAAAATAATTTCATGAGGCATGTACATATTGACAATGTCAATGAAGATACTTTGAGGAATTTACACATAATGTTTCAGTATTATCTAAACTATAATTGCAATCATAAATACTAGTGGAATCATAGAATTAAAGGCACAGAAGGAGGCCATTTGGTCCATCATACCATTGTCAAATTTTTGAAAGAGATATCCAAATAGATCCACTCCTGAACTCATTTCCCCACAGCCCTGTGATTTTTCACCTAGTTGAAACTATTGAGGCAGTAAAGCAGTAGTAGAAAGGTAAAGTTATTGGAATCATTTTAAACTCCGATTTTAATCTAACACATCTGCTGAGAACAGAGCACGTACAGTTTGGAATCCCAATTTCCATCTTGCTCCATTTTCATCTTTGAAGTCAGTTAGAGTGGGATATAAAACAAACGTCCAACTTGAATGCAGCCTCTTCTCACTTGGTGTTCAGTTAAAATTGGAACTTTTGTTATTAAAATATGAATTGGAAGTATCGGATGTTGTAAATGATTTGCATTTGGTGTTATGCATTTGCCAGAGATTTGTCAGTTATAACAATAGACAACTTGATGTAAAAATAATTTCATGAGGCCGTACCATCTACAGTGGCATTAGAATACTAAGTAACTGTGCCGTGAGTAGGACACAACACTCGCAATCTTTTAGCTGTGGCTCTTCAGCAATAGCTTTCAAGTCCATATTGCTTTGGGGAATCTTGCCTGCTAGCCGCAGGCATTAGAAAGTCGGATGCCTGTTGCCAGTCATTTTCTAACCTACAAGTCTGCAAGTGGTGCACGCTGGTAAAATTACCTCTTTTGCATTGCCCTTTAAGCAGTTTCAGAACAGTTTTAACAAGATTGTTCAGCATTTCATTGAGAGTAACAAGAAAGAGTCAAGGAAGCAAATCTATTTTTATAGGGCTGTGCCTGAGGTTCCGGTTACCCTCCCCCAGAAAAGGTTACGGTACATTCTCCAGTAAAGGAAAAACAGGTTGATTAA